CGTTGATCTAAGGAGAGCATAGCACAAAAGATTTGGATGCGAGAGAAAGTATACGAGAGACTACAACAATTCAAAGAAAGCGGTCTAGGATTATACCTACATTGCAATGGTGATTAGCGTCTATAAGGTAGATTAAGAGTGTGTGCATGATGAACGTGGCTTCAAGAGGAATGATTGCAAATGCCGTAGCCAATTTTGGTCTCTACGGCCTATCGTAGATCAATATGGCACCCGAGTGTCCATAATCTCCACGAGGCAATTCATCAAACACTTAGCCTATATTTCTTCCGGGGCCATGCCCTCTCGGATCTAGGACGAGGAATGTGGAAGGACTACAAGGCTCACCTAGGCTTAGCAATTCTTGCCTAAGCCTAGGATTCCGAGATTGTCAAGAAGTTGGGCCCCAGTCCAAGAATACATCACAAATAATCCTCCACAACAAGAAATCCATACAATTAATCATCAACACACTCCATCAATTCAACTCACATCATGCTAATCAACCACATTGCAAACTATAACACATTCCTAGCCATAAGGGGGTGTTTGGTTCAAGTTATATAAGATAGCCAAGATTATATTTGCTTGGGAATATAAGATTCTCATGTTTGGTTCAGGTTATGTAATTTTCCTAGGGAATATAACATAACCTCTAGATTAATTTTTTTTAGCTATTATATTGGAAGGGAACGTGAGATACTCTTCAATTTCTTAGGTAATCTCACATTTCCTTATCTTATTACTAATTTTGGGTTTTTGGCATTTTAATACATTTGTCTTATTACTGTTACCTTACTTACATAATTCAATTTTAAACCAAACACAAGAATCTAACATTCCAGTTATCTAACATTCCCACCAATATAACATTCCCTAAGGTAATCTAACATTCCGTGAACCAAACACCCCCTAAGAGTTTAGCTACTCATGATCTTACATTACATTCCCAACAAATTGAAGAATAACATCATCATCAAAGCAAGAATTGAAAACAAAAGAAAAAATTGATTACCAATATTCAATTGTCTAGATTACAATGATCAATTGGAGGAAGAATCAAACTCCACCTCAAAGTCTTCACACCTTTGATTGAAGACTTCCTTTTTCCTCTTACAAAGTTAAGAGAGTTGAGAGCTAAATCTTGAGAGAGAATTGTTGTAAAAGTGTTTCTTCAAGATGAATCTCTAAAAATGAATCTAACCTAACAAATATCTAAAAATCCTACTATTTAAAGAGAAAAATTGCGCCAAGTCTTCGCAGCCCCATCCACGCCATCGTTACGTGCGTGATGCCGGCGTGATCCGGTTCCAGTGTTGATCCACGCAAGTGGTCACGCGCGTGACCCTGGTGTGAATGAGGTCCAGTACCTATCCACGCCGTGATCACGGGCGTGACACGTGAGTGATTTGGTCATTCTTCCGTGCTCTTCCGAATGCGTCCGTTTTGAGCTCCTTTGCTACCTTTTTCGTCCATAATCCATCAAAAACACTAAGATGCACAGATTAGAGGGTTTTGCAGAGCACAATCACATTTTCATGCTCTTTATTCATAAATCATGCACCAAATGATTCAAACTACACATAAAATGCCTTCAAAATGACCTTAGAAAGTAGCATCTTTTGATACTTATCAAAAGTTTCCACACTTTAACTTTGCTTGTCCCCAAGCAAATCATTAATCCTATTAAATAATAAGTGTCAAAAGATAGATAAACAAAATTTTCGACAATCACACGGTCAATCAAGATGGTTGTGAGAGAACGGAAAAGAATTGAAGGAGATCCTTCATATCATCAAGCAAATGTGACAATCATGCAACAACTAGCAATTTATGGAATATTCAAGAGTACACAAGCCCCTATCGAATGGTGTAAGATCAAGCTCAAATGGGGACACACTCTCTATACCTTTGTCAAGCATGCATTCCAATTCGGGATTCACTTTCTATTTTGCAAGGGCCTTCAAGTCGATCCCACTAGTGGGAACGATGTGCAAACAACAACCACTTTCCAAGACCCAACATGTAAGTAAAGTGAAGGTAAGGCATGGACCACTCCCCGAAATTGGCTTAGCGGGCTCTCTTTTCTTCTCAACCCCCTAGGATAACGTCATCGGGTGACTCGACTTCACATGGAGCTCCATGCTTTTTCGAAGACAGTGCGATGGGTGCCCGAATCCTAGCGGGGTGGATCACCTCCTCTCTTATTCTCTCATCTCTTAGGATAACGTCGTTGGGGCTGTCCGGCTTCACGTAGAGCTCTATGCTTTTTTGAAGACAATGTAATGGGTGCCTCAAATCTTAGCGAGATGGCTTTCCTCGTTTCTTTCCTCACATTGGGGTGGCCATTCTTTGGACTCTTTTTCATTTTTTTCATCCCTAAACAACCCCTCATGCCTTTTGTTTGGGAGAAGGGAATCACTCAATCTACTCACCAAAGCTCATCTTTTGCCCCATGCCATACCAGGATTTGTCAAATTCCGGGTCTCGCTTCATTTATTTTTTTAAAGTTGGAATGTACACACTCCCATTTCGAGAGCTCTTTGACTAATGTCCAACCAAAATAAAAGGTGTATATCATGCAAGCATGCAAAAATTTAAACCTAATTGGTTTCTATACAATCCTCACTTGGTGTATGGCTCGATCGGGATAGTCATCCCTCAAGGGCACTTCTTCAATTTCTTTGTATGGCTCATGTTATTCTTTTTCTGGTCGTCCTTCCGGCATAATTGAGTACCTCAATTGCTGGTTAGTTTAGTGGAGTGTAAGCCACTGCTTTATCCCGTCCCCTCACCAATAGGTCATTCTATTTTTTGTCAGGGCGACGTTCTCTCCGGCTTGATCCCATTTCCTCTCTACGCTTGGCAGTGTTGGCTTCTATAGCATTTGCCCGATCCATGACCCTTCGGAGAGCTTCCTCATATGTTCGGGGTAGTCGCAAAATAAAATCCTCATAAACTTTCAGATTGGAGTGCAGAGTGAAGGACGTTGATTGTAGTCCGGTCGTCCATTGGCTCGACCTCTCCAATCTCGGTCTTCCATCGAGCCAAAAACACAGTTAATGACTCGCCCTCTCGTTGTCGAATTCCGTTCATGTGAGTGAAATGCCACCTAACTGTTTTCGTGGTGGCGAACTTCTGAACAAAAAACCTGGCTAACTTGGGGAAACTTCCTACGAACCTCGACTCAAGAGATTTGAACCACTCAGCTGCTCTTCTAAACAGAGTGGAGAAGAAGGCTCGACAAATGATCGCATCAGACACACCCATTATCAGCATATTACCGTAATACGAGTTGACGTGCTCTTCAGGGTCAGTCTTGCCGCTATAGTTTTAGTTCTTGGGTACCCGTAAATCTATCGATTTGATATGGCTGCTGCATTATCTATTTATCTCCATCGTAAATGGTGTTTTCAATAACGACGAGCTGGCTTTAGATGAACGGGGCATCTACTCCTGTTTCCACTGTTTAAATTCTTGTCGAACATGGTCCAAAATTCCTCTAAGGATCTCAACTTGTGTTTCTCTTCGACCACCCCTATGATGACGAGGATTATATGCACTGCTCTCATCGTAGTCCCCTCGTCGACTCCTGGACATGCAGTCTACTGACATTCGTCCTTCTGCCCGCACTCTCAACCATTCTCGCACTGGTGGCTGGATACGATCAAAAGCACTTCTCCTCGGGCTGGACTCCGCTTTCGATCCTTCCCCTGAACCCAACCGGGTTTGTACCGATCGACGAGGTTGGGGACAGGGCTCGTGATGACTCATGGGCAGTTGACGCTCTGATTCTGCTCAGAGAAACTCGGGTTCCCTTCCCCCGAACCCCCTATGGGCGTTGCCTCTGGTGCGGTTGGGGCTGCCATGTACATCGGTTGCGGGTATATGGCTGGCATTGGTTGGAAAGGGTATGGGGCGAATTTTGCCACCACTAGAAGGTTGGGTCTGGCATCCCAATCAAATTTACAGGGAATTGGTAAGGCATCTAACCGGGAGTAACGCGGAATGTCAGCCCTTGATTGATCATATGAACTGTTGCTTCCCTTGTTGCTACCCCTCGTAGGAGTTTGATTGAGGTCCATCCGAGCATTCAGATGCAACTGAAGATCTGAGCTGCTATCCTCAGCTTCAGGTTCATTGAATAAGTCTAGGTATGGATATATGATTGGAGATCGGTATGAGCGTGATAATCGGCTTGCATGTACCAGTCCCCACATACGACACAAAAAATGATGTGGTAAATACGGTGAAGTCCACATATACATACAATTTGTGATGTGGGATCGTAGGTGGATCCTTTAATAGTATGCTTAATAATTTAAGTCTAGGGCTCAGATTATGACGTGAGATCAGATGATCCCAAGCTGTAGTGTGTTAGGTAGAAATGTCAAAAGTCCCTCAACTGGCATTGAATGCGGTATTTATAGCGGTTGGAAAGGGACACGTGTCGGGCTCTCGGCATGGCTAACACGTGTTGCACATGCAACCGATGTGCTACGAAGCAGGGCACTGCTGCAATCCTCAGCTATCTCGGTCATAAAGTTAAGGTCAGGAACTTCGAGCTTGTGACCGGTCAAGGTCAGGTCTGATTTATGTCGATGAACTGACCGTTTCCCGAGTAGACGCACAGAATGTAAAATAAGGTACACTCAGGGTATATTCCCTATCAACTTCTAACCTATACCTCATAAATTCTATTTGCTAAACATTTAAATATTTTATTGAACATTTTTCATATTTAATTACTGTATAAAATTTATTTATGATAGATTAACTAATTTATGAGTAATTAATAAATATAATTCTTTTTTAAAACAGATTATAAATACTACCGCATCATAATCGGTGATAAATTTAAGATAGAAAAGCACCATTTTTCAATTGTTTTATATGTGGACAAGTAGTTCATAGCCTAGCATTCTCGATACACAGAAGGAAGAAAGGTTTTTGCAATGAGCAGAGATCATAGACAGAAGGAAATTGCAGTGTATGTGTATACAAAAACAATCAAACATATGGAAACTAATATGTTATGATATTCTTATTTGTAAATTCCTTGATTAAAAAAAAAAAAAAGAAGAAAGAAACTGACAAATAACCTAATTGTGTTTTTGCATTCCTCTCCTTCTGCTTGATGCTACACTTCACCAACCTTTTATGTGTGTCTATATGCTATGTGGCAAAGTTGTGCATGAAATGATCAAGATAGAAAAAAAAAAGAAGTTATCAAAATGAAGTAGATCTCTTCAAAACTGGTTTCATCTGCTTGTCTTCTTCAATTGCAATCATCCCCAAGTGGGAAGGGTCTTCAAGCATCATCTTTGAAACCAAGTAGCCAGCAATAGACCAAGTCTGGTATTTTCGCGCCTGTTTCCCAATGAATCTACCAAGTTTCCCATCATAATATTCAGGCCAGGCATCTTTGGACAACCTGGTTTCGATTAGCTCAATGGCGCGCCTTGCAATCTGGGGTCGTCCAGTCTTTATGCACGCCGCAGTGAGTAGCCATAACAGCACTGCAATCAAAATTAAACCGTATTTATTTATTGTTAGTCAAGACAGAGAGAGAAGTGGGAGGAGAGTATGTAAAATGATTGATAGATACTTGGCCATGATCCCCCATTGTGGTAGCTCCATCTGGTATTTTTTGGGTCACACCCTGTTATGATGCGCCACTCGTGTCCCTCTATGGCCGGATAGCAAACCTTCAGAGGCATCTCTCCCACAAGCTCATGCCAGCGTGACTCGATGAGATCCATGATTTTAAGTGCCTGTTCAGGAGTTGCTAAGGATGACAGGATCGCGATGCAATTGCCCAAGCAAAACCAACGGAAATCCATCCTCGAAGGTCCAACGTTTCCAATGAAGTATCCACCATTAATTGGCATGAAATCAAATATCCATTCCGGAAGAGAATCTGGCATGATGTTGAATTTGTTGACTGCAGTGTGAGAGTACTCCTCGGTTTTATATCGGTATATATCATTCAGCTGCTTTAAATCAAGCCAGAAGTAGCTTCTCATATGATAGCTCAAAGCATGTAACCGTTTAACTATTCTCTCCATTAAACCCTTCCCCTCCGCATCTTGCTTCAGTAAAAGCAGTGCACATCTTAAAGCCATAAAGAAAAGGGCTTGAATTTCAATTGGGTACCCATATACACCCTAAAAGCATCGACAATATACTCAGCAAAAGAACAATATAAACACACACACACACACAAAGGTCGATGATATATACATATGTTCTTGTGGCGGCTATAGATTTTTAACTTTAAGGTCTTGAATTAGAGAGGGATGAGAGCTGAAATCCCAATAAAGGTGCATAGTACAGAGGTCAATAGTTCACAAATTACTATATGTTATTTAAAGCACATTTCATCTGGCATGAGAAGAGCTGAGTGTTCAAGTAAATCTATATTCAAGAGTGTTTTATTATAAAAAAAAATTAAGTTTTATAAATTTTGAAAAATAAAAACATGTGCCAACAGACTGTAGAGCAAGATTTGGCCCGTAAAGTAAACAGATTAAAAAACACAAGAAATTAACAACAAACAGAAACTCACCATTCTACGATCAATCATACAGCAACCATCAGCACAAAGAAGTGTTGGAAATGTGTCAAACCCCTCTGAAAGACATATTTCAAGTATCAGGTGCATGCCCTTTTGGCATTCAGGCAACTCGGCCAATGAAGAATCACCAGTAGATTTTGTGTATGCCCGAAGCAAAATGATCCACCAAAATCCAGAATCAACAGGAGCCACTCTTCCAATTGCACTCTCACCAAAATCTGCAATCAATGTCTCTGAATCCCTGACTGGATCATGGAGTACTTTGAAACTAGCAGGCATCACTCCCTCTCCCATTTGGAACCGGTCTATCTTTTTCTCCCATGACTGAAGACGAATAGTCTTCAAGATAAAGTTTTTTACTATTTCTGTTTCCCCATTCATAAGAAAAGCCAATGCACTAGGTACAAAATCTCTAACAAACACCTGATTATGTAAAAGAATGTCAGCATACAGCTAACAAGGAAAGCTTGTAGATAGTTTTCCAACAAACATAAAATTTACATGGTATGTGTTCTTGAAGGTGCTTTTATCAATATAGGACAAAAAAAAAGACCTTCAAAAAAGCAAAACAACTAAATAAAATAAAAATCAGTTTGAAAGCTAGAAACGAAGGTTTACAATCCTATAGCCAACTTGCCGCAAATGGGGAATAGCAGAGTTCCCTTTCCTACACTAGGTAGGAGCAGAAGATCTTAATTATATCATTTAATTTTGATAGAAATGCAATGCAGCAAGTCAGCAAACTTACAAAATATTCTTTCTATTTTGAACTTGAGAACAAAACCAAGGAAAACATTCATCATATTTGAACCCACAAACTCAAGGTATTCAACTATGAATGACTCCAAGAACTTCCCAAATTTAAAAGTCAATAAGACCAGATTACTTGTAACTCAGAAAAGAATACTCCATACCAAATTCACCAGCTAGAAAAAGGTGGCAGATAATTAGCTCTTAAAAATTCACAAACAAGAAAGGTATTGTAAGTGCACCCTATATTGACAATAACAGCACAAACTTGTATACCTATCTATATAACTAACTAACTTCCCAAACTAGTAATATTCTTAATATCTTCTATTGTAATTCAACTCATGTATATACAAAATGTGTGTGAAAATTTAGTTATGTTCTTGCTTAGTTGAACATGCTTAACCACTCAAAGAAGCAGCATAAGGCATAAATCAGTGATTTGTTAACAAAGGCAAAAGCTAGTAAACGATTGGGAGTGGAGTGACCTGGTCGTAATTGAGCTTTTCATCCCCAGAATTATCCAATGCAGCAATGGTCCCAACAGGCTGCCCACGGAAATAGACCAAGGAACGCCTCAAATTCTCCCAAGCATCAGCAAACATAGGATGTGTCTCATACCCAAAGGGTGACATTGGACTGGTGTAGCCAGAGCGCTTAGGTGAAAATACACTATCAAAGTGTTCTGCAGACCGATATATGAAGTCAGGTATGGAAGGTGGGAGAGGAGAAGTGAGTGACCTCTCATCCCATGAGCTCTGCCTCTCAATGTTCAAATTCCTTGGCCCATCTGGTAACCTCGAAAAATCAAACCCTTCCAATTCAGGGATACTACTTGCAGAGCCTATGTTTTTTAGACCATCACTCTGAGACGTATCCGAAGGAAGCATAGGCATTCTTGCAAGTCTTGTAATCAATCTCACAACCAAAAATGATTCAATACCACCTACCTGATTGGGCCTAAATCAGTAACCTGCATTGAAACCAAAATTCAGCATTCACTCTCCACGTGGCATTTGATCACACATTGAACAACGTACAAGAACACATCAAGCTAAGGAAACACAAAAGAAAGAAAAGAAATACAGAAATGAAACCTAAAAATCCAGATTTTCATCATCCTTTTCCCATGTAAACCAAGCATGGATCAAGAAAATTCGGCAGAATCAGGAAAAATTAAAGGAATGAAGACGAAAACCCCATTTTAAAACACTAGTACGTTATCAATTCAAGATAGATAGATCCATGCACGTCCAAGAAAGCAATATATGAAGAAAAACAAAGAAGAAGAGTGTTAGAGAGTGGGCATACCAGCATGAGGTGTATGTAGAGCACAGATCAAAGAAAGAGGGAAACATGGATCAGTGAATCAGTGATAGCGAGACAGGAAGCGAGCGAGAGAGAGAGAGAGAGAGAGAGAGAGAAAGAGAGCAATATCCTGGTTTCTTGCTGCCATTTTTGAGACAATAAATACAGAAAACGACACATATACATACATGGAAATTATCCTAGCGAGCCAATGCCATTCTAATTTCTAAAGTTAGGCCCGCAAAATGAGATTCACACCTTAAATTTGATCATGTCCAGTACTCAATTGCAAATCTTGCGCGCAACTTTGGACATGTGACCATGTGAGTGTACGGATTGTGAATAGACAAATCCAAACAAAAAAATAAAATAAGAATGAAAGAAAGGATTGCACTCAAATCTCGACTCCGGAGACCCTTAATCCAAACAACTAGCATCATTTTTAGGGCTCTGACAATATTAGATTAGATATAATTATAGTTCTATTAGACACATTATTAGTTTTTGAAATCCGCACATTATTAGCTGATTAAGTATAATATACATGATTGTATCATGTATTAAACTCAGAAAGTCACTCTTATGGTTGCAAGCTAACTGTCTTATAAACTTGGTAGGATTGCTCTTGTAAAGGATATGTAAATTTTGACATCTAGCACAAGCTAAGAATCATGCTCTACGGACATTAAATTATATATATTTTTTTAAGTGATGATAGAAATTCGCAATCATTATTTGAGAGTGTGTATTCAGTAAATAATGTTTTTCTAAAAAAATAATAAATGATGTCTTATGATCCGTAACTGATAAAAAATTACAAGAAAATAAATCAATCTAAGAAGTTGAATTTGAAACCTTATGACTAACTTAGCTGGTTGCCTTTTAAATTATATATTTTGATCGTTGTGTAAAGGGATATGAAGTAAAATGGTAGCATGATTTATACTCCGTACTTCGTAGAGGGCTGGTCAGGGTGCGCGATGCTTGTCTCGAGCTTGGGGAATGGCAGGGGAAGTTACGTGGGGGAATCAGGAATGCTTGTCCATTGACCATTGCATATGTGTGTATAAACCAACGGATGACTTGCCATTTGTGAGCTGCTTATCTTTATGTATTATTTTTTGAAAACATCTTTATGTATTATTATTCATAGCACTCAATATGTACATGATTCAGGATGTGTTTGGTTCATATAAGGAAATTAGAATCAGAATGAAAATTAAATACTTAATAATAATAATGAGTTTTGGTGAAAGTATTTTGTATGTTTAGTATGGTGGAATTCGAAAGAATTACTAATATTGATGTTTGGTTATGTATGATCATATAATGATAATAAAGGTTTTAAAAATAAAAAATATAAAAAAATTAAGGCAATTGATCTTAATATAATGACATTCAAACCACCCATATGAACAAAAAAAAAATCAAAACAAAAATCTAAAAGTATTAATTCAAACTTAAAAATCAAATTACTAATAAGATGGAATGATACAGTTTTTAATTAGGGAATGAAGTTTTAATTTTAATTAAAGAAGTAATAATCAAATCACATAGTTTTGTTTTAAAAAGTTGTCAACCAAACTCTAACTATGATTTTGATTTTCATTCCTGGTGTGTAAACTCATGAACCAAAACACACCCTTGTTTGTATTTGATTATATATATTGTATGTATGTGACAATATAATCAATTATAAACTTCTGTTCCTTCTAATTCAAATAATGACATGGTATATGATAATAATGTGTCAGTTTGCACTTGAACGTTATCATTGTAAAATTCGTAAAGACGTATTAACGACATAATTTATTCATAAATTAATTAACATAATTCTCAGAGTATGTTTTTGTAATAGTAATTAATATATGAGATTTAGTTGGTTTGGGGTAATGAGGTGTGAGAATATTGAATTATTTGTGTCACTTGTGGCATCGGGAAGCCATACATACATACAGGCTAAATGAACAACTTATACATATATAACTTGGGAACACAAATTAAAGTCTATAAGAAGGCAGGAAATGTAGCTAGAATGAAGCACGCACTTGCATGCATATGCATTATATTGCAGTTACAAATTAAACATGGCAGACATATCCTGCAGCCTGAAAACCAACAACATTATTGGATTTCTGGACAAATTAAAGTTAGTTATTAAGAAGTGAGGTTGGTAAGAGCAGATGCTAACATCGTACCCCATGGAAACTCTCCGGCCGGCCTCTTCTGCTCTGCTCATCATAATCATGTGTTGGGGATCGGAGAATTATTGAAGGGCGGCTAGGGTGTTTGAATTTGTGGGGTTGTGCATGGTTCCAGAAGTTAAAGCTAAAGCTGCTGAATCTGAAGTAGGTGGAGGTGATGATGATGAGAAAGAGCAAGGCAAGAGGGAGCAAGTAGGCGAAAACCCGAAAACCGATCATCGTGTGCTCCACTTCATCTTTGTAGCTACTGTAATGAGACAGTGAGAGCAAGAAGATAACAATGCAGAAAATGGCTAGCAGTGGAAGGGGTGGTGCAGAGGCTGAGGAGTAGGACATGCCACTCCATTCTGGACCTGATCTGCGCTTGCCAAACCCCCAATCCATATATATATATTTCCTCAGTTCGATCGATCTCAACTTTTAATTTCTTAATTTCATGCTCCAATAATTCCGGCCTAGCTAGATTAGTTGTTTTTATACAGGAGATCAGAGAGGTGGAAGACACATGGCTCGCTCGCTTTACGATAGGCTGGCTTTAATTTGGAATATATGCTTTGATTATGGATTCTCCCAACTCCCAACCCCCCTCCTCCTCCTGCTTTCTCTTTTTTGGGTTGGTTGAATTAAAGTGCACTCAAGCATATGATTCCAAATTATAACACGTACGTCAACAATTGTCTGTCTACCCCAAAAACTGTTGGCAATGATATATGGAAGCTAAGTAATTGATGGGGGTATGCCTGGATCAACTTAAATTAGTTCCCATAAAATATAAAATATAAAAGATAAAATGGTAAAAGGCATAATTATATTGTAGTAAAAATAATGGATTGGATTAATGCAAGAACATTACAAAAAATATGAGTTAATTTCAGCAATAGTCCTCCGACTATATTGATTTTTCAAAATTAGTATTCGACTTTTAATTTGGACACTTTACGTCCCTAGACTTTTAATTTTTTTCCAATTGAGGTCCTTTCGTCAGATTACGGTAAATTGAACTTTAAATGAAAGGGTAAAGTAGTCATTTCATCTATCTAGTGTATAATTCTTCGTATTTCTCCTTTATATGCGCGACTTCAGACATCAAATTCACTTAATTGTTTAATCCCTAAATCCACTCGAAGAACAAAATTTCATTAGGGATTAAATAATTAAGTGAATCTGATGTCCGAAGTGGCGTATACATAGGGGTGGCCACGGTTCGGTTCGAACCGAACCGTGCACTGTTGAACCGGAACCGAAACCGAACCGTCCGTACGGTTCCGGTTCCTAACCTGAACCAATATGGTTCCGGTTACGGTTTGAGATGAAAAGGAACCGAAACCGGCGGTTCCGGTTCCAAACCGAAAAAAATTACATATTATAGTGTTTTTTTAAATTTTTTTAAAAATAATTCCGGTTAGAACCGGAACCGGAACCGGAACCTTACTATAAGGTTCCGGTTCTGGTTTCGCCATCCACGAAACCGAAACCAGAACCGGAACCGAAACCTTACTATAAGGTTCTGGTTCTGGTTTCGCCATCCACGGAACCGGAACTGGAACCGTGGTCACCCCTACGTATACAAGGAAGAAATACAAATTATACATTAAGCAGATAAAATGACTATTTTACCCTTTCATTTAAAGTCCACTTTACCGTAATCTGACGAAAGGACCTCAATTGGAAAGGAATTGAAAGTCAAGGACGTAAAGTGTCCAAATTAAAAGTCGGGGACTAATTTTGGAAAATCAATATAGTCAGAGGACCATTGCTAGAATTAACTCCAAAAAATATTATGTAATAATAGGACATAAAATGTCTTTTCTTAAGATTGAACATGAAATGTCTAGGCTAGAACATGAGCCATTTATTCAAGGAGAAACCCAACCAATCTACCTAGCTAAAAACGTGGAGGGCCACAATAATGGGTTAAAGCCCATGGACCTGATGCATAACTCAGTCCAAATCCATCATTACGGATTCCAAGACGGGCTATGGGATGGGAAACGATCGAATGCTCCATGTCGGCCCCGGAGGTAGGCCTTGGATCATACATATTGGTCCTAGTTGCCATGGTTCAGACCACCTCGGTACAAATCGCCTTGTTTAGCTCGGACCACCTTGGTCCGGGTTGTCTTCCTCCGACTCAAGTCAACTCTTTGGTTCATATCGCATATCTTGGTTTGGATCACGTCGGTCCGGGCCACATCGCTACCTAGACCATCTTGGTCCGGGTCATCTTCTCGGACCCCGGGTACCGTTCCCATTCTTGAGTCAATTCCAATATCTCCATCAGGGAAAATGCAAGTATCTAGCAAGTCAGGTGGATTTTTTTGTGGTCCTCAAAATTGCTAATGATTTAGTCTTGGTCTATTATTTACTACAAGTTGGTGATTGGCCAAGATTTGTCAGGAAGTATGTGGCTATAATTGTTTGGCCAATACTATTTAGATGGAAGTATTTAAGTATTTTTGAGTTTAGACAGAGACAAACAGTTCTGATGTCTCTATTGTCCTCTTTTCTACTCTAGGACTGTTGTGTATGTTCCAATCCATGCTCCCGGTGTTCAAAGATGGGGATCTTCGTGTTAACCTTTGGGGACAATGCTGTTGTTGTGAGCCTGCACCGGTAGGGGTGAAATCACTTCTATGGTAGTGGTTATACAACGACACATCATTTTTTTACTTTCACATTATCAGCCTAATTTCTCCAACAATATAGAAGCGAATCCCGTGTTGATAAAAGTGAAAATGGTGTATCTATTGTAATTAGGGTTTTCCTAATTTCTCCAAATTCATTCGTCGGAATAGAGTATGCAACTGTTTCAAATTCCCGAGGCTTGGCGCAATGGTGCTGGTGAGGTTATAGTCGTCGAGATCGAGAAAGCGGAGAGAAGCCAATGAGCCGAATTCCGGTGGGATGCCGCTATGATATGTGTTAAAATAAGCCTAGCCGGAGTTCCACGAGGTTGGAGAGTTTAGACTGGCTTGGAGTGGTGTTCCTTTGAATTTGACATTAAAAAATTGATTATGTACTTAGATAATAGAGGAATACAAATTTATCATACCCATGATTAATTTATTAGTAGGACGTTGAAACAGATTCTCAAACAGTTGTTCATGCTATTACTGCATCTCCTTTTTATTCAGCTTTTGGTATTATAGTGGATGACATTAAAGAATCTACACCTTTGTTAAATAATGTAGTTTTCCAATTTGTAAAGCGACCTACGAATCGTGCTGCCCACTTTGTTGCTAGGAAAGCCGTTTCTGTGTCAAGTTGTGGGGATTTGATTGATATCCCGCCATCTTTTCTTGTTGATTGTTTATCTGCTGATTCAATGAATTAAGTTCTTTCCTTAAAAAAAAAACATTTTATTAGTAGGACTTGTTCTTTCAAACAAAATTGAATATGATTCGCATATATATATATATATATATATATATATATATATATATATATATATATATATATATATATATATATATATATATATATATAGAGAGAGAGAGAGAGAGAGAGAGAGAGAGATAGAGAGATAGAGAGAGAGAGAGAGGCGGTAAAAGCTTCCCGTGCGGTTGACGCACCTTAAGCATTAAAAAAAAAAAAAAAAACGCTTGTTTGGAAGAAAGTTTTATTCAAAATTTTTGTTCTTGCAGGTCTGAACCACCCATCAGTTCAAAAGTTTTGTTCTTCTTGAGGGTCTAAACCACCCATCAGTTCAAAAGTTTTGTCTCATAGAGAAGGTGCGCTAAGAAGAAACACGACGCACATTAAGCACAAAACTCACGCACATTAAGCACAAAACTCACGCACCTTAAGCACAAAACTCACGCACCTTAAGTTTTGTTCTTGTGGGTCTAAACCACCCATCAGTTCAAAAATTTTGTTCTTCTTGAGGGTCTGAACCACCTATCAGTTCAAAAGTTTTGTTCTTCTTGAGGGTCTGAACTACCCATCATTTCAAAAGTTGTCTCACAGAGAAGGTGCGCGAAGAAGAAACACAACGCACATTAAGCACAAAACCCACGTACATTAAGCACAAAACTCACGCACCTTAAACACAACGCACCTTAAGTTTAGTTTGAAAGTTTTGTTCTTGTGGGTCTGAACCACCCATCAGTTCAAAAATTTTGTTCTTCTTGAGGGTCTAAACCACCCATCAGTTCAAAAGTTTTCTTCTTCTTGAGGGTCTGAACTACCCGTGACTCACAGAGAATGTGCACAAAGAAGAAACATAACGCACATTAAGTACAAGACTCACGCAACTTAAGCACAAAACCCACACACATTAAGCACAAAACTCACGCCCCTTAAATTTCAAAAATGGTCCTTCGACTATTGACTTTTAATTTGACCAAAGTTGATCCCTTAACTATTGATTTTGTTTCGATTTTGATCCTTCTGTTAAATCTCTGTTAAATAGGTGTTAAAATTGAGGACAAAAATGTAAAACC